CATGCGGCACGACCCGCACAAGCTGCTGGAGGGCTGCCTGGTGGCGGGGCGGGCCATGGGCGCCCGCGCCGCCTACATCTACATCCGCGGGGAGTTCTACAACGAGGCCTCCAACCTGCAGGTGGGGGGAGCGCCCCACAGCCACCCCACAGCTCCTGGTGTGGCTCGGGGCGCTCCCGGGCTCAGCAGCTGCCCCGCTGCAGGTGGCCATCCGTGAGGCGTACGAGGCCGGGCTGCTGGGCGGCGATGCCTGCGGGTCGGGGTATGCCTTCGATGTGTTCGTGGTGCGTGGAGCCGGCGCCTACATCTGCGGGGAGGAGACGGCGCTCATCGAGTCCATCGAGGGCAAGCAGGGGAAGCCCCGCCTCAAGCCCCCCTTCCCCGCTGATGTGGGTACGGCCCCACAGTTCTGTCCTTAATTGCCAGCTGCCACTCCAAAACAGCTGTCCCCAGGACACCGTCCTGCTGCCAGGACAGCACCACAGCCAACACCACATCCACTGAGAGCTCCCACTGTTTCACAGAACGATGTGGGTTGTAGGGGACCTGAAAACACTGTCTCATTCCACCCCGCTTCCATGGCCCACATACCACAATCCCAGGTTGCTCCAAGCCCCGTTGAACCTGGCCTTGGACACTTCCAGGGGTGGGGCAGCCACAGCATCTTTGGGCCACTTGTGCCAGGGCATCACCACCCTCACAGGGAGGAGTTTTTTCCTAATGTTTTTCCAGGTGTGTTCGGCTGCCCCACCACGGTGGCTAACGTGGAGACGGTGTCGGTGGCCCCCACGATCTGCCGGCGCGGCGGTGCCTGGTTCGCCAGCTTCGGCCGGGAGCGGAATTCTGGCACCAAGCTCTTCAACATCTCAGGGCACGTCAACACGCCCTGCACGGTGGAGGAGGAGATGTCGGTGCCGCTGAAGGAGCTCATTGAGAAACACGCCGGTGAGCGCCGTGGCCGAGCCGGGCCAGAGCGGGGCTGGAGTTGCCCATCCTGACCATCCTCTCTGCAGGAGGTGTCCGTGGGGGCTGGGACAACCTGCTGGCCGTCATCCCGGGCGGCTCCTCCACGCCGCTGCTGCCCAAATCCGTGTGTGAGACGGTGCTGATGGACTTCGATTCCCTGGTGCAGGCGCAGAGCGGGCTGGGCACGGCCGCCGTCATCGTCATGGATAAATCGGTAAGGGATGGGCCCCCAGTGGCTCCCCCAGCCACGGTGGGACCCTCACCTTCCTCACCCTCCCTCTCATCCCAGACCGACATCATCAAAGCCATCGCGCGCCTGATCGAGTTCTACAAGCACGAGAGCTGTGGGCAGTGCACCCCGTGCCGGGAAGGTGAGCAGGGGGCCGTGGGTGAGGGGCTGCGGGGCGGGGCACTGCAGGGACCCATCCCCATCCCAATTCCCACAGGCGTGGACTGGATGAACAAGGTGATGGCGCGGTTCGTGCGGGGCGACGCGCAGGCCGCCGAGATCGACGCGCTCTGGGAGATCAGCAAGCAGATCGAGGGACACACCATCTGTGCCCTGGGCGATGGTGCGGCTTGGCCCGTGCAGGTGAGGGGCTCGGAGGGCTTGGAGGGGCCAGCAGCCTTCCCCCACCCCACTGACCAACTCTCCTGCCCCGTGCAGGGCCTCATCCGCCACTTCCGCCCCGAGCTGGAGGAGAGGATGCGGCGCTACAACGAGGCCAAAGCCCGAGCGGCGTCGGCGTAAGGATTCACCACCACACCTCCCTTCTGCTTGGAAGGGGTTTCTGGGGTGTTGGCAGCACTCAGAGGGTTCTCCAGAGGGTCCTCAATAAATGGTGCTGTGCTCCCAGGCTCTGCTGTGGACATATTAATGGTAGGAAGGGTCTGACAAGGCAGAGGGCCTCTGGGTCCTGCTGCCCCTGGAGCAGGGGATCCCTAGGGATCATGGGGTCACACAGCTGGGGCCTGGATACCCCAGAGGAGAGATCCTGGATTTCCATGAGGCTGGGGGTAGGACAGAGGTGATGGCTGTAGCATACTGACAGACAGAGTCCCCTCCTTGGGGACCCCACACTTCCTTGTCCCCGCTGCAGTGGCACCAGGACTCCTCCCTCCTCCTGTGCCCGTGCCAAGGGACCAGCTGTCCTGGCCACATTCCACAACTCGAAGCCCAGGGCAGTTCCAAACATGGCTTTTACTGAATCACAGTGTGCGACATCAGTGCTGGGCTCGGAGCCGAGTCCCCCGTGCACGGGCGGAGAACCGAGGCGCGGGACCCCACAGCCTCCCCCTGCCGCTCCCCGCTCAGGCCGGGGCTTTCCTGGGAGGCACGTGGGTCTTCCTGCGGTAGCGGCCAGGCACCAGCAGCTCCAGGGTCAGCTCGGTGACGATGGCTGTGAGCCCCCACACCTTGTGGGGGCCGTTGAGGAACACGGGCAAGGTGTATCCGTAGCCACTGGCCGTACGGAAGTTGGTGTAGCCCTGGTTCTCCTCGCGGAGCAGGTGAGCCAGGGGCAGGGTGAACACCTCCTCCACCTGTCAGCACAGACCACAGTGACCAGGAGCAGCTGCCACGGGAAGGGGAGCGGGCCTGGGGAGGAGTCACTCACCTCATCAGGGTTGGGGTTCAGTGTCAAGGCCTCCAGCGGCCCCAGGTTGGCCACGACGGGTGCCACGGTCATTCCATGCTGGAAGGTGTGTCAGCAAGGGACAGGGTGACACTCCCTCCCCCAAGTGCCTGCGCCTTGACCCCCCTGCACGCAGTGCAGGCACCCATCATGTGTGTCACCCCCTCATCGGTTGCCTTGAATGCCCAGAACTCCTGTCACTTGTGTCCCTGCTGACCTGTCCCTGTCACCCAGAATCCCCACCACCTGTAACACCTATCACCTGTGTCCCTGTCCCCCTGAACCTGTCACACATGACCCTGTTGCCTTTTCCTTGTCATTCCAATCCTCTGCTGCCTGCAACCTCCCTCACCTCTGTGTTCTTGTCCCCCTGTCACCTGTACAGTCACCCACCTCCCTGTTGCCTTGTCCCTGTCACCCAGAACTCTTGCTCTGTCACCTGTGTCCCTACTGCTTTGTCTCTGCCAACTGAACCCCTTCCCTGTGTTCCCGCGGCCTTGTCACCCCTGTCAACGCTTGTTCCTGTCACCCCAAACCCATCACACCAGAACCCTTATCCCCGTCACCTCGAACCCGTCACTCATGACCCTCCTGCCTTTCCCCGGTCACCCACGACTCTGCCACCTTCCCTGTCACCTTGAACCCACCCCCGTGTCCCTGCCTCCTGCCCTTTTGCTCTTGTCCCCGCAC